TAGCACTAAGCGACTAGAAGTATCTCCATTCCCCCTCGAATTTGATGCTAGTCCATCACAGGGTTATCCCAAGCATTAGAATGAGGCACTGTTAGAACAAAGTGATTTGCCCAAGAACACAACGCAATGATCCCGGCCAGCAGTCGGACCGCTCGCTGAGATGTCCAGAGCACTAACCGCTAACGCCTCCCTCCCCCCAGCGTGCCAAAAATGAGCATGAAAACGAAGACAAAAGTGAACGACAACAGGCCGTTTATTAGTTACCTTGTGCCTCTGTTTCAATGAAAATGAGTTAAAGCTTCTGCCGGTTTACATGAAAAATGAACCTTTAGGTGGAAAACGTTTTCATATCAATGGTATTCGCACAAGACTCGTTTTGACACAGAGGCAAAGGGCAACTCAGAAATAGCGGATTGCACGCCAAAAGCTACGCACTGTGAGGAATAAACAACATACCTTAGATAAAGACAAACAAATGAACTGCACTGACCTACACACACCCAAGTCACCAGCCTCCAGTCTGGTTAATGCATTGCTGATCACTGCTAAGGACTCAAACGCCAGCTAAAATAATGCAATAAATAATGGAGAAAAAACACTGGTCGAGCTGCTTAGCAAGAGTTTTATTGGTTACTGCAAATACCGTGTTAATATAAACACTAAAAAACAAACACTCCACACTGTTTTCGAAGAGTATTCGAAGCGATGGCCCTCCCTTAGGGAGACGCAAGAATCGTTGAATGTGAATAAGAGATTTTTCAAAAATATTCGTTGTTATAGCCCTGGACCGGGTTGTTCGAAAGGTGGACAATGCTATTCATCGGATAAATCACTAGCCAGCGGATAGCGTGGTTTGTTTTGTTAACAATTATCCACTGTACGTACGGGTTATCGACCAAGTGTGAGGTCAAGATGGCTGGATATTGGCCGAGTTCTTTTAATGGACCGAGACGGAGTCGAGGTCCATAAACTCACGGATTTGATTCATCTCGACCGCTCACGGAGCTAGCCATATAATAAAGCGATATACCCGATATATCCAGACTTCGAACAACCGAGGCCTGAAGGGTGGTTAACTTTCCCTCACAGACTCCGAGTAGACACTAAACAAATGTTCAGCCTGTTCATTGTTTGTCACCTGTTTCCAGTAGTTGTTGGTTTCTTCCTCTTACCTGTTTAGAGTGGTTATCATTCATACTGGAAGAATCGTCCACAGCCAACATGATCTGGTACTGCCTCTTACTAGGCTTAGTTCTCCTCAGCCAGATCTTGTCCTTGCGGAACTGACTGGCGATGTAAGAGATCACCTTCCTCATGTTTAACCTTTTCCCCGACCGGTAATCTCCCCTACAAGAATCAACATGTGTAAGAAACCTGACCCTAAATAACTCGGTTATACCCCCGCCGGAAGCCCCACAGTTAGAACACCCTAAGCCCTTCCATAAGATAAATTCACAACACTCGTCAAGTAGTTGGCAACACCTTTCTCCAATGTGAGCTCAGCTCACGTTAATGTTTGTTTTCTCCAGCGTTAAACGTTCCCGTCACAAGTTCAAAATACTGATTCTCCTTTACAATTCTTACACATTTCATTCAATGAGAGTTATGAGAATTCGGAGTTTTCTTCTCTTTTCTGTTGAACAAGGTACTCATATTGTGGTGAATAGTTAGATTGGAGAAAATGAACCCTCACCTAATCCTATAAATGTCTCGACCAAAGAAAGTATCAATGATTTCTCGGACCAAGAATGGAAGATTTTTCTGAATTCGAAACAAAAGACAACCTCACAAGGTAGACCCAAATTTCACCGTTCCACTCTGATCCCGAAATTTATGTAAATCTCAGTTCAATGGTTCTTTGCATTGCTTGGAGGCTTTTTCAGAAAATTTTGGAACCCACTAACTTCTGGTCCAAAATAAGCAGAATTGCTACCAGTTTTTATTTTATTTTAAATTTATTTTTGTACACTTCAAGTTTTGGTATGAGTACACATAAAGTTATGGTTGTTGTTGTTTTTGTTGTTGTTGTTGTTGTTGTTGAATAGGAAGCGTCCTTTGCAAATAACGTACTTGAGTTTGGTAGCTAATGAAGGTTCTAGCACCAGTCGCAACTGTTCACACAACTCCTGAGAGAGACTGGAGGTGAGAAGCTCGTACTTGCGCCAGGCCTCTTGTGCGACTCGCTGTTCGTCGGCCGTACCTCGGTCCATGTTGCTCCATTCTGCCAACTGATGTTCGAGATCTGACCTTAACTTCTCAGGATCCAGCGATGATATGTCCTTCAAGAAGGAAGAAAGTTGCTTAAATATTTGCAAGGACTGTTACACGTTTAATAGTTAAGGTTTCAATGGAAAAACATTTTGATAAAGGTGACACGTTCATCGTGTTGCGAGCGTTACACAAAAATCTGAACCCTGACAGGATTCAAACCCAGGACCTTCCAGATACCGCCCAGATAACGGCCCAGATTCTGCTCTGATCACAGAGCTACGGAGCAAGGCCATTGTACCAGGCTCATATGTGACACGCATCCTGCATACTGCAAGGATCGACAATGCCGAGAGCATCATGAGCGTAACGAAAGATTTAAAAAAAATTGAGCTCGGTGAATAAATATTAAAGACGAAATGTTCATTATGTTACAAGCGTGGAACTTTCATTATTTTAAACATGAAAGAAATCAGAAAATGCCATTCTAAGACGCGATATAGCGTATTAACAAACACTCAGGTCTTACCAGTCTCTCAAACGCCAGCGCCATATCAGAAGAGTGATAAGTACTGCGCATGCGCTCAGCTGTCATTTCTTCACCATCATTAGTTTCCATGTCATCCTCACGAGACTCACTCTCAGCTCCATCGCTTCCATCTTCATTATCTGCTGTTATTTGAGACTTGATTGGCGGTGGTAGTCGAGATTGCTGTGGTTTGTCTGGCGTCTAAAGAGATATCACACAGTAAGAAAATCGATCTTTGCTACTTGTAATTTCCCTGAGCTCCTGTTTTCGTTTTTCTTGCCAAGTAGGACTGCAGAAAAAGCCGATGAGCTGTAACACATATCATCAACCCTTCAATTGCCTTGTTTTCTCTGTACACAATCCCATTTATCACAAACTAGGCTACTCCTCATTTCAAATAACATTTCGTACATACAGCCAAAGAAACAGACACCATTTTTGAAAAAATATCAATTCTCAGAGACTGGCAAAGATAATTCCGGTTTTTCAACCTACCGCCCCCTCCCCCTCTTTCCCTGGTTCCCCTCATCACTGACATGTTTGATTGCAAAATCGCACCACTTACAGGAAGTTCATCATTCTCTTCCAACAAAGCAGATTTCATTTCCTCTTCCTCTTCGTCTTCTCCATCGCTATGCATATCGGGAAAGTGTGCCTTTTCTTGCTCTTTAGCTTGATCAGCGGTTGCACTATCAAGAGTCTGCGCATCGTGAGACGATGGATCTTCATTTTGCATGTGCTGGAAGAGATCTTGACTTGTTGCCTTGTTCGCCTGAGCAAGTAAAGAAAATAAACGAGAGTTCAACTCGCCGCCAGGAGTTCCTCATGGATTTCTGTCGCTTTTGACTTTCCTATCTGGAAGCCATATCAGGCCAACGAAAAGAAGGAAGGAAGTAGCCTCAATGTCGATTAAGGGGAAAAGATGTAAAAGATGTTCTCTTGAATTACAAGGATCACAGAAGAAAAAGGAAAGCAAACGAAACAAAAATATGTAAAAGAAGCTGCGAGCTATACATTTTACGGTCAACATTAAAATAAGATTATCCTTTGTGCTTTTCATACCTTAAGCTCAGTCAGTTTTTTTCTTAACATAATAGCGTCGCGCACAAATGACGTCACGAAAATTTAACCCCGCGCTACTTCTCTGAGAGCGACGTATGGAGCAACGGCGCTCGTGAGCTCTTCAGCGCGATACTCAGCGATTTATTTTGCTATTCCATAGCCTCTCCAGCTCAAAATGTTGGAGAAAACCCACGACATGTACGTTGGAATAATAACAATAATAATAATAATAATAATAATAATAATAATAAT